TCTTCACTCTGAGTACTTTTTAGATGCTTTAATTCAAACACAATGTATTTCTACACCTTGATTTCTCATTTGCACGGGGAAGAAATCTTTCCTTGTCACCTTTGTTTTTGCTGGAATCATAAAGGGATTTGATCATATAGCTCCAGTTTCATGTACTTGGCTTACTTCAGGTTCTCAAAGATAACTATTCACAAAATGCTCAGTGCTGCGCAAGACAGAAGAGCTGGTCAGACCACAAGAGCTATACTCTACAGTAGGGTTTGTTATATCAATCAAGCATTTCTCCTTCTGGCCTTCGTCTTGTGTAGAAGATGAAGTGATATTTCTTAACAAAATTCAATGGCTTACAACATTGTATGTGCCTATGACTTGAGCACTGTCTATACAAGCAATTGCATAAGTGGAAAATGCACTTTTTTAGGGAGGGAAACTCCTCTGTTTGTACCTATTTGTGATGAGAGGGTGTGATGGTGGTGATTATGTATTTGAAAGGCAGTTTTCAACAGGATGGAGCGTTTTGTGATAGCTTCTGTAATTTGAAGTCCTTAAGTCTACATCTTCCTGAATCTCTTGAATGCATTGAATTTGCAACGTAATTGGGTTTCATTATTGCTGTGGCTGACCTGTCACCTTTTTGGGGACAGGCTGATGTCTGAGGTGCTAACACATAAAGCTATATGTGGTACTTCTGAGCTAAAAATGATTGGCCAGCAGTCAGGGCATTTGCTTTTGAGCCAATCTGATGCAGCTGTAGGAGCTGCAAGTTGAGAAAATCAAGCAAGGATGAGTGTAGCCCTCAAAGTGTGAAGCCAGTCTAGCTTCATCAGTTAGCAAGATGTGGAGAAGCAGCAGAAAAAGCTGTGTTGCTGTGCTTAAGCTGTCTCTGCACTTGGATCAGTTGCTGATATTCCAAGAAATTCCAGAGTTGACTCAGCATGAGAACTTATGTCACTCAGATCTTTCCTCTCCCTATTGGAGAACTCAACAAGAAACCCAATGTGCCAGTATCTCTTAGAGCAGCATCTCTTGCACTGTGCAGCCATAGGCAGAAGTCTCAGGATGGGCCAGAAAGCAAACCAGGTCACTAGTCTGATCAGTCTGACAAATTGCCTTTTTCCCTCGGTCTAGGGCTTCAGGGGCCTGCCATTCCTGAGAAGCAGTGGGGTGGACTCAGGGCTTCTGGTGGCTCCAGGCCCTGCCTGCTGTTGGCTGCTGCAGCTGTACCTCTGGGAGCAGCTGCATCCTCCACTCTGCATAAACTGGGGGGAAATAGGTAGAATTGGGACATGGGAAGAAGCATGAGAACGGCTGCTCCAGTTATGCACTGAGTTTCAGTGCACATAAATGATGTGGGTTTCTTTTGACTACTGTAGCAAATGCTCTAGTTTTGTTACTAAAACAAAACCGACCTTTCTATTGCTCTTTATATTTGGAAAGTGATATATTATCAGTTTCTGAACTTGAGGTTTAGTGAGCTACAGGCATTAGCTTCCTTTCAAGCTACTCTGGGCTTTCGTGCTTTCTTTGTATGGCAAGGGTCTAGAGAGATTTCTTTTATTTCCTTCCCCACCATTGTTTTCAGTACAAAGTTTTTTTTCTTAATATTCAGACATTTTATCGCCTCACTTCTTTTAGAACTCTGAGTTTCTTTTTTTTTCTTTTTTCCCCATTACACAAAAGAGTACTTTTAGCTGATTGAGTTCTATCCATTGCCAACTGCAGACTCTTTTGTCTTGTTGTCCAGCATCCTTTATGGAATGAGGACCATTGAGCGAGTACTTGTTGGCTCCCTGCTGAGCACAATTGTGCGTGCAAGGTGTGGTACTGTACCACGGAACATGGAAAGCTGCAGTTTGGAGGGCCTGAATGCATTGCAATTTTTACCTTTTTGCTTTGTGAAAGAAGTGGGATTGTGCTGTGAGATAATAAATCCACCTATTTTTAGTTTGGTGCAGTTGCGACAAGTGGGCGAACAAAGAACCAGTTGAATGCACTTGCTGTTGTGTTGAAACCAGCTAAAAGTTCCTATTCAAGTAGTTTCAGCACAGTACAGCTAACAGGCAATTTTCCATTTATGTATACAAACCATCTAGAAAGACAGCTGTGCGGTTGGATTAATTTCTAGCAGTAAATTGAATAAAAGAAAATTGAAGGAGGTCTCGGGAATTCCTTTCTAAACAGTGAAAGCAGATCTTTCAAAGCTTTCTTTTATTTAATCCCTTGCCTTCCCAATGTCTACTGTAAGATTTAAAGGACTGGAAATAGTGTCCTCTATGTGGAGGTATACAACAGGAAATGTGCTCTTTTTTTTTTTTTGAAGCAAAGGGATGCTATTAAAATATCCTCTAACACTTTCTACTTCAAAATATGCTGATTTGCTTTTAAGTAAATGGGAAATTCACACCTCTTAGTCATAAAAAGGAGCTCAAATGTTTGTGCTTGTGTAAGCTGTAAGTGAGCAATGTAGAAATGTGTTCTGAAAACAGGAATGTGTTTTATACCCAAACTGTTTTTCACTGGGGAAAGGAACTTGGTAGTAGAGAGCTTTTTGATTATGCAAGGTTATCAATTTTGTTGAAGCTAGTTACGTGTTGAAATAGGATGTGGGTTTTAACCAAGGCTAACAAAGATTTCAGTGAACTCCTACTGATAAAATGGTGGTCACGGGCTTCTATTTTAAAGGTTGATCTTCAAATACTACTTTGGCATTATAAATTAGCTCCTAAATGAAGTCTTGATTCTGTTCAAGTAAACTGTGATAACAGATACAGTTTGGGCAGAGAATGGTTTGAGGACAGCTCTAAGGAGAAGGATTTGGGAGTGTCATTTGGTGAAAGATTCAATATGAGCCAGCAATGTGTGCTTGCTGCTCAGAAGACCAACTGTATCTCAGATTGCACCAAGGGAAGTGTGGCCAGCAGGTTGAGGGAGCTTGATTCTGCCTCTGCTCTCATGAGACCCCACCTGGGGTATTGCATCCAGTTCTGAGGCCCCTAACACAAGGACAGGTTGGAGTGGGTCCAGAGGAGGGCAGTGAAGATGATCAGAGGGCTGGAGCCTCCCTTGCAAGGACAGACAGAGAGTTGGGGTCTTCAGCCTGGAGAAGAGAAGGTTCTGGGGGGACCATATAGTTGCCTTCCAGTACCTGAAGGGGCCTACAGAAAAGCAGGGGAGGGACTTCTATAAGGGCATGTAGTGATAGGGCAAGGGGAAATGGCTTTTAAACTGCAAATGGGTAGATTTATGCTAGATATTAGGAAGAAATGCTTTACTGTGAGGGTGGTGAAACACTGGAACAGGTTGCCCAGAGAGGTTGTGGATGGGTCCTCCCTGGGGGCATTCAAGGCCAGGCTGGATGGGGCTGTGACCTGGTGTGGTGGGAGGTGTCCCTGCCTACAGCAGGGGCATTGGAGCTACTTGTACTTAAAGGTCCCTTCCAAACCGAACTGTTCTATGATTGTATCCTTCTGACCTTAAACTTATGACTTGCTAATTAATGATCTGCTTTATATTATATGACAGCAATTTTGAGCCAAAGCTCCATATAAGTGTAAGAAATCTCTGGTAGGTAATGGAGGGTGTAGCACTGAAGCATTATTTTCTTGGTTTTCCTTCAAGTAATTTTTCTGTGTAGACTAGATGTAAGAATATCCAAGTAGCAACTTGAAGAGTGGCAGTAGGCTTACTGCAAGGTGTTCTACATAGCACTGACCTCAGGGGTCAGCTTTACCACTGGGTGGCTTCACTCTCCCCACTTACCCAATTTTGTATAGACAAGATGAGCTCATGCTTAGATTTCCTCTGAACTTGTGAAGTTTTGTTTGAAAGCCACTTAACAGATCTGGTAAACTGTTCATGTGGCTGCTAGCATGCAGTGGTGGAGTAGGAAGATTTGTCCAGTGCTCTGGGAAAGCATCTGGAACATGATGTAGTATGAATGTTGCAATGTTTGTATTCCATGCGAATGTATCAACTAATGTGAAATACTTAAGAAATGACAAATCTAGGGGGAAAGCTGAAAATGGGTGTGAAAGTGTTTTGTTCTTTGTGGATCTACTTGTAATAAGCTGTGGCCATGTATATGTGAGGCTGCAGTCAGATATCAAGAGCAGCCACCACAGTGTTACTCTCTGGATTCTCACCACTGCAAAGAGAAACCTTGACTGTTACACCCTTTCGGCTCACTGTGTGCTTGTAAGAGACAGAGTTTAGAAGTTTCACATTTATCAAAATCAAACTTCCGTTGTCTGTATGGCCCTGTTGTTAGATGCTGCTTTTGATTTCTAGTTAAAGATCCCTTACAGCTGCATGAGGAACTCAGACATTTTTTCCTTTATTTAGGATACTGAGGATTTCTTTTTTAAATCAGGGTTAGCACCCCTCTCCTTTTAATATACTTTTCATTTAAATAGCCCTGAAATTCCTGAGCTCTTGTTCAAATGGTACCAAAAGTAAGACAAACTAAGCTGACTCTGAGAAAGATACTTACAGCTTGGCTGCTTGCTGCTTTGAGGTTACCCAGACGTGCCAGTTGTCTTGCTGCAGACTCCTGTGGGACTGGAGAGCTTATTATCTACGTGCTTGGGAACTTGGAGAAATTAGTTGTTGACTAGGCTGCAGTGCAGCTGTCTAACCTAAATGCTGATGTTACTAACTGCTGTGCTCTGGGTTTGCCAGAAGGTGAATATACCAGCCTAGATGCTTGTAGTTCCCTATTAAGTTAGATTTTTAGACTTTTCTGCATACAAAAGGAGTCTGCTAGAATTTTGTCACAAACTGGAATCTACATAGGCAAAAAGTCTGTGCACGATCAGGTTGAGTAGTAAACAAATGCCCTTCTTCCTTTTTCCTCATGTCCCACATTGTTTCCAGCTGTGCTTTGGATATATGCTTCTCTAAACTTGAGTACATTTCCTCACCTCATTGAAATACTTACGAGAATCAATTCTGCTCATCCTGTACATTCATCATTAATATATTCATATTTTTTTCAATTACAGACTTTAAAAAATTCCAAAAGTCTTTGCTCCCTTGATTATGAAGATGATGATGATGACACACAAATGAAGACAATTGTGTCATCCCCATGTGACTCAAATGATCTTATGAACATCATCACCCCTGGTTCCAGTCCAATGAAAGAACAGCTGGATGAAGTAAGGCATCACGGGTCATGCCAAGGTAGCTTCAAAACAAGGGATTATAAGAAAGCAGCTGCAGTGTGTGAAAGTGATGAGGACACAAGTGATTGTGAGAGCACTGAAGAAGGCATCTTTCCTCTAGACTGTGGGGACTTGGACTTAGAGCAGATTGAAAACAACTGAGTCTCAAAGTTGTGTGCTAGAATCAGAGTTGTTCTAAATTAAAATGATAGAGGATTACCTTTGCCATGCATAATCCATGTCCCTGAATCTCTGTATTGCCTATCTTGGGCCTGTGTTAGAAGAAATGTTTCAGGTGGGGGAAAAATGTGAACCATTGTTACCTGTTTAGTCTATTGATCAGTATGTGGATGACAATGACAACAACAACAACAGAAAAGTAGGAGGTTAAATGTTATTTTGAACATTAAGGAATAATTTTGATTAAAAAATTTCCTAACAGATATTTTGCATTTTTATGGCTTTTACAGTTCTGGAGAAAAAGCATCTCTATTTTGAAATGAATTTTCAGAAGGGCATTCTATAAAACTAAATCTGTCTACAGTGATTCTGGTGCGGGTATATGTTGCTTTTGTTAAAGAGCTTAATGTGAAAAGTGAATTGCATAATGAAATTGGTAATAAACCTTCAGATAGAACTCTTAAATACCTGGTTGGCAACTGGTCCAAAATACTTAACTGCCATCTCTGACAGTGTCTGGATTAAAAAAAAAAAAAAAAAAAAACACAACTTCATAACATGTACAAATGTTCTTTTCATACATTCAGGACTTTTTGATCAAAATATGGTAGTAACCTTAAAGGTTAACATTTTCCATGATTTTACTACTTGAATTGTTTTCTAGCCTGAAGCAATGCTAATTTAGGTGGGATAAAACTGCAAGTAGCTGCCCACCTACTTGGTCATTATGTTTTCTGTGGTTCAAAAGAATGTACAACAAGAGCACTTGAACTTTTAGACAGGGACTTTGTAATGATCAGTTCCCCAGGAGGTGATCCCTTCAGCAATACTAGAAGGAAAATAGTCCTTGAATTAAATAAAATGACATTTTGCTTTGCACTTGTGTCTGTTTATGAATTTTGTTGGAGGAAAATACAGAGTCTGGGTCATGTTCTGTAATATGGTATTTATGTACAGAGTTGGGTGGAGGGCAGACTTCTGGTCATCTAAAAAGAAAGTCAGATTGGTTTGAGGAGCTGGGGAGTAATTCCTGCTAGATCCCAGAAGTGTCTCAGTGATTACATGCACCATAATAATCTTAATATAATAGTCTATTCACTGCAGACTATTGCAACACATATTTTGTTAGTTCAGCTGGAATAGGGATTTGCCTGATGAAGAGGGAAAATAATCTCAAAATAGAGATTTTAAATTGGATAGAACTGGAGAGGCTTAGATTATGGCGTTTCATTGCATCTCATTAGTCTGCTTAAATGAGCCAACTCCTATGATAGTCTGTGCTATAAAACCAAAATCCAGTATCATTTCAAATCACCTAATGGAATGTGATTGAAGTGAGAAATTAATATCTGGAGGCATGTGACAAGAAGCAGAACAAGGTGCGACTCGGGCTGCAGCCTTGTGGTTAGGGTCAGCCTTTGGGCATAAAAAGAACTGGCTTTTAATTACTGAAGTAGCTTGCATGGCTTACTGTCTGTACAAAACTGAGCTTGGGGTAGCCACTAAAAAGCTGTAAGTGTTCTTCATGCTTTTATGACTCCTACTGCACATGTAACTAACGGCAGCAGTGGTCTGCAATACCAATACCAATATACGTGCATATGGAGGTGTGAGATCACTGAAAAGACTTGTTAGGCTCTTGATGTGTTAATATATATCGTGTTAATATATATCATGCTCATTGTAGCAGCAGAAAATCATCCTCCTTTTCCCAGATGAGTAAATGAAGGAGCTGCTCATGGAGCACAGTTCTTTCGGAAGCTCTGTTAAATGTGCATCTCGCTCTGCAGGTTATTTGGATCCAGAGGAGGGCCATGAAGATGATCAAAGGGCTGGAGCACCTCTCCTATGAAGATAGATTGAGGAAGTTGGGCCTATTCAGCCTGGAGAAGGCTCTGGGGAGACTCTATTGCAGCCTTCCAGTTCTTGAGGGAAGCTTTAAAAACAGGACAGGGACTTTTTATGCTATCGTGTAGTGACAGCAGAAGGGGGAATGGATTTAAACAAAAAAAGAGGCTGCCCAAAGAGGCTGTAGATGTCCTGTCCCTGCAGGTGCTCAAGAGCAAGTTGGATGGGGCCCTGGGCTGCATATTTTAGTGGCTGGCCACTTTGCTCATGGGGGAGGTCGGAACTGGATGACCTTAAAGGTCCCCTCCAACCCTAGCTGTTCTATGATATTTGCTCCTATGTAGCAAAGAGCTTGCAGGTAGTGCCACATACATGCACAAGCTATTGGAAATAATTTTCTGCGACTGAACGTCACTATTTTTGCACTGAAAATTAAGTTCCAAGAAATATCAAATGAATTCTAGCCATTTTTCCTTGTGGATAAATGGGAATTGATCTGTAGCAGGCCATCAGTCATCATGGATAATGGGACAACAAAGCTGCCTCCTGGACTTTAATTACTAGTGGCAGAACCACATTTCTCTTCGTGTATTTTTCTTAACTGAGCAATAGAGGTAAGTAAAATTGAATAAACTTTAATGCAGGATTGTAGCAAAGACCTGTAGTACTACTGGGATCACTTAAAGGCCAATTTGCCTATTTGAAAGCACTCTGATTAGAACTGTAATGGCAGGGAATGAGAAAGCTAATGTGGCAATCCATTTTGGCTCTTCCTCTCCCAAGGAAAACAGGCTTCTGGAAGAAGTGAAAGAAGAAAATACCTCAGAGGACACAAATAAAAGGAGGTAAGATGTGCTTTGTCAAGAAAAAAACACTTTAGAAGGAACTCCAACTATTAATAAGCAATAGGGAAAAGGCAAGAATAGAGCAGGTAATATTCCAGCTCTGAAATATGGGCTGGCTGTGATTTTAAATTTACATCTCAAGTCTCAAAGGGTTCTGCAGTTTCCTTCTGTAGGGGCATTGTTTTGACTCAACACAAAGTCACATTCCTACCCACATATTTGGGGTAGGAAGAGGTTTCCCAAGTTATGGTACAGATGTTTGCTTATGGTAGCTCAGGACTCCAGCCCCATGGCAGCCAGCTGTTAAAACTCTAAATAGCTCTTTCATAGACACAGACAGACAGGAGTGGTTTTAGATACTGAAGAGCAAGCTTCATGAAAGTAGGAAGTAGTAATTATCTAGTTCTGAGTCTTATTAGTTGGTGACAGAAAAATGAGTGGTTGAACAGCTGTGCAGTGACACAGGGAATGAAGAAATTGACTGAAAGGGGTCTGTGCACTCTGTCTACAGACCCTCATGTAATCCCACATGCGAACCAAGAGTAAAAGGAATTACTGGTGTGAGGTTATTTCAGCTGGGGCAGGCTTTGGCCTTGCATCATGCACAAGATATTGAGATGTGCTTAAAAGAAATTCACGGGTGATAAATTTGGCACTTCTGTTACACTCGATTATAGAATAAAATCTGGTGGCTGTTTTGGGCAAGTTTACAAAAAGAGAAAACCTGCTTCTGAGGGTGAATTGTATTTGGTAGTGGCTGTGCTGGGCTGGGAGTGGTTTCCTTCCGTCTTGCAGCCAATGTCAGAACAGAAGGCTGTGCTGCATGGCACTGTGGGAGTTGTTTTAGGTCACTTATCTCTCATTTTTATTAGCAACCAGGCTAACAAAGTAGTATGCATGTTACATTTGCAGTCAACAGGATGTTGGACAGATGTGAACGATAAGATAGCATTAGAATTTAAAATAGTCTTGGCAACTTGTAGAAATGGTTGCAACAGGGAGGAGACTGGGGGGGAAGACAAGATCCTTTTCAACAAGGCACTAAATTTAGACAGGTTTAAGCTCGGCGTTGAGCCACGTAGTTAACAGTGCTTCTGATAAGGAAGCTGGGAGTTGGTCCTGTTAGTAGAAGAAAAATGAGCTTCAGGCTAAGGTTCACAAACGACAATTTATTTCATAAGGCTGCAGGTGCTCCTGGGAAGCACAGGATTAAGTACACAACTTGAGATGCTGCACTGTGCAAAGTTCAGGAGAGAATGGTGTGAGTGATGTACCGAGACATGGGAAAATGCACTTGAGGGAGCACAGAAAGAATAGAGATTGAAATCTTTTGGTAGACTGGGCTTAAGTGGCACCTAGTATAAAAAATGAAGGTAGGGAATTAAGGAGCAGATGTATGGAGAGATGTCTGCTCTTCTACAAATGGAGACCTGTAAAGAGCATCTGTCAGGAGTGATAGCTATGTTTTGCTTGCCTCAAAGTGAGATGATTAAGCTGGCTGACTTCCCACAGCTCTTTGCTATCCTTTCTTCTTTTGGAGCTGTACAACTTGTATTTCTAAGCATGGCTAAAAGCTGAAGGTAAATAACTACAGGAGGAAGAGGAGCTGAGAGTAATGTGGTGAGAAAAGTACTCTGGAGTTTCCGGTGCATGGTCAAACTATAATATGAAATCCTATTAGGAGCTGCCCCTCGCCAGAAAATCTACCCCTATCTTGTCAGCTTGGCCTAAATTATCTTTATGAAACCACCGCCTACATCTGTACCCGACTGTGTCCAAGTCTACTCTGGCAGAGTGCTGCCACCACCTGCAATAAATCTAAAGATACTGATCAGCTGTTGGTGTAAAGGTAGCCCCAGTAATACATCTGAAAATGCACAGATTTGACAAGAAGTCCCTGGTGCTGATTGGCAGATCTCCTAACTTTTACTCAGTCTTGATGATCCTTCCAATTCAGGACATTCTATGGTTTTCACTGTGCAGTCTGTATATTATAAAACATTACGTTTTTTAAAATACAGCTATATCTGCAGTTCAGATTGCCTGGGGCACTTCCTTGAAGGCTTCTGCCTCGTCCTTGGATGAGACAAAGCTGACTGGGCAGGTGGCACATGTTGCATGTTTTCAGCCTGCAAAGGACCTGCTTTTGAAGCTGTGGGTGTTTACACCACCAATCTGTGAATCAAAATGAACAGACCTGCATCAGAGAGCCAGACAGCCTGGGACCTTCAGGTGCTTATCCTTGCCCCTTTGGTAGAGCTTATATCTTGTTTAACACACACAAAATATGGTTTCAGAGGAGCGTTGCTGCCATATGCTTAGCAGTCCATTCTGGTGGTGCATTTTCCAAGTGAGTTTTGCCATCAGTTGTTTTGGAGTTTGTGTGTAATTAACATCATCCAAACTGCTGCTCCCACCACCATCTGGTCAGCACAGCGATTACCACTATGCTAAGAGCCCTGATTTGGGTAAGCCCATCTGATGGGAGCAATGATGGGAATTTGAAGTCGGGGTTATTCTGTTGGGCCCTGAACACATGTGTCCCATACACCACAGC